ACACATAATGTGCTCTGTAAAATTGCACATTACACAAAGAGGTTACAAAACCAGAAGTTGGAAATAAGATTTAGATTATTATGACTATTTGCTATTAGTCCAGAGAATGAAAAGAAATACATGGAATCAGAGGGTACTGCACTGAGGTAGGTTAATGCAAAGTACTTTCAAGGCACATAAGAGCCCCTAATTACTTTTTAAACAAAATTCTGTTAGTTCGGTAAAAAAGTTGATTCATAATTACATAGAAATTTTTAAAATGCAAATATTACAACTAAATTTGACTAGTTTTTACATATCAATATTGTAGGGGACTCCGTGGTTTGGTCATGTTTAGGGTCCCTAATGATATTACTTTGAACACGCTTCTGCAACCAGAGCCATGCGATTACTTTCAGCTGTCTGAACAACTCTGTGTCATAGGTAGGTATGCTAAACTTGCATTCATCGTATTCAGTCCTGAAGAAGGTCGTATGGTGGCAGAAACCCCAGGCTGTCTTTAGTGCAGTCTCCCAGACAGCCTAGAGCATTACTTCCCCATTAAAGTACAGGAAAACGTTGGGAATATATGTGCATCAGAAATAAAAACAAAAAGAACTGAAATATTCACACTTCTTGCACCCTAAACATTAAACAACTATGAACTGCAATCTGCAATGAAAATTTTGCTTGGAGACACGGAGAATTATTGCAATGATTTCCAAGTAGGTCAGGTTCAATGTGTTGCAGCACATCCAATATACCATGTAAATTACACAATAATTTGAAAAGGTGAGGGGAAAAGAGCAAAGAAAACACTTGCAAAGAGGGAAACATTAATTACAGTTTTAAAAGGATATTTATACAACAGCTTGAATATGCCAGTTCCAATGGACATTGGTATGCCCATAATGATGGATTCACTGACTCCAGTAATAGCATCTGTTTGGCCATAATATGCTGCATCAAATAAGTGATCTGAAGTCTTTTCAAACTGAAAATAAAAAATTGTATTTTTGGATTATATCAAACAAAAATTTTTTGATTAATATTTTAAATCCAATTCTTACTAATACTTATTTGTTATTTTATGTAAGAGACATCAACACAATATACAGACAATAACACACATTTTTCCAATTAATTTCAAAACTAAACTTGATATACAACTTTCTTAATGATTAGCATTTAATTTTTTTAAAAATTAGTTTCAAAGGAATAGAGTAGTAAAATAATTTTGGCTCCCCAACCCTACTATTATGTACAAACAAATTGAAGAATTATGGAAAATTGAGGCGATGGATGCCAGAAAAAATAATTAAAAATAACAAATAAAATACATCTCAAAATGTAAACCCACTTCCATTTTGAGTGGTATACTTACACTCAAAAAACTAGTTAAGCAAGTGATGTTACTGTACAATTATCTTTTTTAGTATTCAAACCAACTAGGTAAGCAATTTTTGCATACTTGCAAAATGTAGAACCAAAGAAAAATCAAATACATTGTAGAGATTAAATAAACTCACAGAGGCTAGGTTGAGAACAGATTCTTGCATTTTTGCCAATCCATGGCGAGTAATACCAAGAACTTCTCCTCGACTGGTCATCAGATCAGCCACAAGCATTGGGTGCCTCCTGTCTATGCTCATTCCATGATTCTCCATTACTACTCGGATTTCATTCATAATAGTAGTTCTAAAATGAAACAAATAAATATTTTAAAAAACAACATTAAAAATTAGATATTTTACTCTCTTCAATAAAAAACAAAAAAAATGCAGAATATAATTATTTAATTATCCTAAGACTGTCATTGAGATTTCTGTTTTTAGATTTTCAGTCCAGATTTATTTTAGACAGTCATTTTTAAATGAACACATTGAAATAAAAAACACATTGATCAGAAACCATAATTTAGATTAAAGAATTTTATTTAATTTTCCCTCATTTTCGAAGTTTTTACATTTCAATGTTTCAGGGTCTCCTTTACCTCATCTTCAGGAGTCCAAATTTTTAAAAAAACACAAATTTTTGTAATACAATATTAAATTTTCTAACTTTAAGATTATAGTTAGAGTTAGATAAAACAAATTGAAATTATTATAAATATGTACCAGGTACAAATGATGTCACCTTAATTAAATTCTGTAATTTTTTAAAATCTACTTCTACTATTCACTATAAAAGTTTCTACATCATTAATGGAAGTCATTTCTTTCCTTCTGTGGCATTAAAGACCAGAAAGAGTATAAATTTTAAAAATAAACCAAATTAGTTATGTGTGTTGGGGGAAGAACTATAAAAGAAGAGGGCAAATAAAATGCTTCAATCTGAATTAAGGGATCGGATTAATGTTTTTAGTTTCAACATGTTTAATTAAAAATTACTGTCTACAATAAATCTGAACTAATAATCCAAAAACAAAAATGCTGAATTTTTTGTTATCATCAAAAATTCACTGACAAAAAAAATTGAAGGAAATAAGACAAATCTATATGTCTGAATATATAAATAACACATATGTATGTATATATAAATAAGAGAAAAAAATACGTACCGAGCAGCTTCAATACCAAGAGTTGTGTATACTTCATATATATTATTTGAGGTAGTACAAGTGCCTTTGACCCCTGGAGTAGCCATTACTTCACGCAAGTTATCACCTTCCACAAATAACTTGTAGCAAGTTTTTCCACCAGACTCTTCACTGTGAATCACGGCCCGATTCACATTTGAAAGACCCTACAATAACCGAAACATGTTATTGTTTACTAATTATTTCTGACACTACATAATAATCAAAAAAGTTCTGATGTTACTGAGGAATTTTGTTGACTTGAATCCTTTTGAAATATCCTCATGCCAAAATACTCCCACTAGTGTTCTTTCAGCGCATAAAAGCCAATTCCCAGACCTGATTGACCAAGTTTCAAATTCAAAAACATGAAAATGTGTATGGTAACTCAGTGTCTCATAGGGTAGATTATATTCAGACATTATGATCAGTACTAGAAATGCTATTAGACATGAATATTAAAAATTAATTATATTGCTATTTTCCCTCCCATTTTCCATTTGTGTAAAAGTCAATAACACACATATTTACCTATTTTGAATTTTTAGTCACATATTTGCATGAATGTCGATGCTTATTATACATGTAGATAGTTTTTTTTAAAATTTACTTATAAATCCTAGTTATAATGCATCTATTTTGCATAATACTTTGATCAAACAATGAACATTCCAAAAAAGGTATAGAGATTTTGAACCATTTCACAAAATTGCCTAATTTCCCGGTTGACTTTTAGTGCAACTGAAGGTCTAAATTAAGGACATTGCCAAAATAAGTGCATGTAAGAGCACACAGTATTCTTGGGAAATGGACACTGGAATTATGTTGTTCGTAATCGTCTGTGTAAGATGGTATGTAATGGTACTTATCAATATTTCATATATTCATTTAGTGTCAATTCTCATTTCTATAAATTATGTATATCCACTTGTACATAAAAAACAAGAAGTGCAACAAAAACACATACTTTCTTGAATCAAGTTATCGTATTGTAATATTAGGCCAGAATTTCAGCCTTTCTTTTACTTCAAATATCACTATGTCATAAACAAAATGTGACAAAAATTTTTTTGTATTCAAAACTTTAAATGAAAATATATTTCTGGTTCAGTGTATAAGGTACAGTAAAACCCCTCTTTAACACTTTTCATGAGACCACAGCGAAAATGGTGTAAATAAGGGGAAATTATTTTTATCATCAAAAGTATGAGTACAATACAATGTATTTAAATACACACAATGAATAAGGATTATAGTGTGGTTTTAATATGCAGTATTTGATTTGTAATAAACAATATTACAAGATCAAATAAAAATATGACCAAATTTGAGACATCACAAATTGAAGGCACATTAACACCAAAAGCATAATGAATTTGAAATGCCGCAACAACACCCGCCATAAGTCCCGCCATCCGCTGATGCTACCCTTTGATGATGCCACAATGTACTTGGATTAAGGAAGGACAGTGGTATTTCTACTGTACGAAAAAATGTCAAGTTTACATTTTCCCCAACTCAATAAAATTGTATTTTTGCCACTTTGTAATGATTTCTAACTTGTCTTTTTTAAATTTATTTATGAAATAATAGATAAGAAGGTTCATGAAATGAATTTACAGTTAAAAACGTACAGAGAATCTCATACTTTCATGTTTGAGTTATTAACAAAGAGAGAGATATCCTGAAGAAGGTCGTATGGTGAGAAACCCAGGCGTCTTTAGTGGCAAAGGTTCAGACAGCCTTAGAGGTCATATTACTTGTCCCCATTTAAGGTACAGGAAAACGTTGGGAATATATGTGCCTACCAGAAATAAAAACAAAAGAACTGAAAATATTCAACACTTCTTGCACCTAAACATCTAACAACTATTGGAACGCAATGAAAATTTTGCTGAGACACGGAGAATTATTGCAATGAATTCCAAGCAGGGTCAGTGGTTTCAATGTGTTGCAGCACATCTATATACCAATGGTAAATTAAATAATTTGAAAAGGGTGAGGGAAAAGAGCAAAGAAAACACTCAAGAGGGAAACATTAATTACAGTTTTAAAAGGATATTTATACAACACCTTGAATATGCCATGTTCCAATGGACATGTGGGTAATGCCTAATTGATGATGGTCACTGCTCAGTGATAGCATCTGTTTGGAATAATATGCTGCACTCAAATAAGTGATATCTGAAGTCTTTTCAACTGAAAATAAAAAATAGTATTTTGGATTAATTAAGAATATTTTTGATTAATATTTAAATCATTCTTACTAATACTTATTTTGTTATTTTATGTATAGAAGACATCATACACAATATATCAGACAATAACACACATTTTTCCAATTAAATTCAAAAATCTAAACTTGATAAAACAACTTTCTCTAATGATTAGCCATTTAATTTTTTTTAAAAATTAGTTTCAAAGGAATAGAGTAAGTAAAATAATTTTGGCTCCCAACCCTACTATTATGTACAACAAATTGAGAATATTGGAAAATTGAGGCGATGGATTGCCGAAAAACTATTAAAAATAACAAATAAAATACATTAAATGTAAACCAACTTCCATCTTGAGTGGTATATTAACTCAAGAAAACTAGTTTAAGCAAGTGGATGTTACTGACAATTATCTTTTTTAGTATTCAAAAACCAACTAGGTAAGCAATTTTTTGCAAACTTGCAAAATGGTAGAACCAAAGAAATCAAATATCACCTTGCCTAGAGAATTAAATAAACTCAACAGAGGCCTAGGTTGAAAGAAAGATTCTTGATTTTGGCCAATCATGGGAGTAATACCAGAATTCTCCTCGATCTGGTCATTCAGATAGCCACAAGCATTGGGTGCCTCCTGTCTATGCTATTCTCACTGATCTCTCCTTACATCGGATTTTCATTCAATCATAGTAGTTTCTAAAAATGAAACAAATAAATATTTTAATAAAAACAACATTAAAAATTAGATAGTTTATCTCTTCTTCAATAAAAACAAAATAAAATTTAAAAATGCGCATATACCATTATTTAATATCCATAGACTGTATCTGAGATTTCTGTTTTAGATTTTCAGGTCCCAGATTTATTTTAAGACAGTCATTTTTAAATGAACACATTGAAATAAAAACACATTGATCAGAAAACATATATTTCAGATTAAAGAATTTTATGTTAATTTGTCCTCAATTTTCGAAGTTTTTTTACATTTTTCAATGTTTCAGGTCTTCTTACCTCATCTCAGGAGTCAAATTTTTTAAAAAAACCAGAAATTGTTTGTAATTTACAAGTATTAAATTTTTCTTTTTCTAACGTTTATAGAATTATAGTAGAGTTCGATAAAACAAAATTGAAATTATTATTAAATATGTAACGAGGTTACATAATGATGTCATAATTAAATTTCTGTAATTTTTTAAAATCTACTTCTACTATTCACTATAAAAAAGTTCTACATCATAATGGAAGTCATATCTTTCCTCTGTGGCATTTAAGACCACGAAAGTAGTATAAATTTCAAAAATAAACCAAATTAGTTTATGTGTGTGGGGAAGAAACTAATAAAAGAAGAGGGCAAAATAAAATGCCTTCAATTGCATAATATAGGGATCGATAATGTTTTAGTTTTTCACATTGTTTATTAAAAATTACTGTCTACAAAAATCTGAAACTAATAATCCAAAAACAAAAATGCTGGAATTTTTGTTTATCATAAAATTCACTGACAAAAAAATTGCAAGGAAATAAGACAAATTCTATATTTCTGAATATATAAATAACAACATATGTATTTATGTTTAAATAAGAGAAAAAAATACCGTACCGAGCAGCTTCAATACCAAGTGTTGTGTATTACTATATATATTTATTTGAGCGTAAAGTACAAGTGCTTTGACCCTGGAGTAGGCCATTACTTTCAACGCAAGTTTATCACCTTCCACAATAATGTGTAGCAAGTTTTTCCACCAACATGACTCTCACTGTGATCACGGCCCGATGTCACATTTGAAAGACCTACAATAACCGAAACATGTCTATTGTTTACTAATATTTCTGAACACTTCATATATATCAAAAAAGTTCTGATGTTAGCTTAGAGGAATTTTGTTGACTCATCTTTTGAAGATTCTCATGCCAAAATACTCCCACTAGTGTTCTTTCGCGCACTAAAAGCGAATTCACCAGACGCTGATTGACAAGTTTCAAACTTCAAAAACAAATGAAATTGTGTATTGGTAGACTCAGTGTCTCATAATGGGTAGATTATATTCTAGACATTGTATGATCAGTATAGAATGCTTATTAGACATGAATATTTAAAAATTATTATATTGCTATTTTCCCCTCCCATTTTCCATTTGTGTAAAATAATAACATCACATATTACGTATTTTGAATTTTTAGTCACATATTTGGCATCGAATGGTCGATGCTATTTATACATGTAGAATAGTTTTTTTTTTTTTAATTTACTTATAAATCCTAGTTATGCATTCTTTGCATTTCCAAAAGAAGGGTATAGAGATTTTCGTGAACCTTTCACAAATTGCCTTTAAATTTCCCGTTGATTTTATGTGCGATCTGATAGGTCTAAATAAGGAATTGCCAAAATAAATAGTGCATGTAAGAGAACACAGTATTGCTTGGGAAATGGACACTGGAATTCATGTTGTTCGTAATCGTCCTGTGTAAGGAATGGTATGTAATTGGTAACTTTCAAATATTTCATATATTCATTTAGTGTCAATTCTCTTTCTTTCTATAATTATGTATAATCCACTTGTAGCATAAAAACAAGAAGTGCAACAAAAACACATACTTCTTGGAATCAAGTTATCGTAGTGTAATATTAGGCCAGAATTTCATGCCTTTCTTTTATCTTCACAATATACTTTAACGTCATTTTTCCGTCGAACTCAATAAAATTTTTATTTTTTTGCCTTTGTTATATGATTTCCAACTTGGTCCTTTTTTAGAATTTATTTATGAATGAATAGGATAAAGAGGGTTCATGAAATAATTTACAGTTAAAAACGTACAGAGAATCCATACTTTCACTGTTGAGTTATTAAGGATCGGAATAAATTATGTTTATTAGAATGAGAAAACTGTGAAATTGTGTGGTATGATGAGATGTAAATAAACATTGAGTGTGAACGGTATTTTA